AAAATTACTTAGAAAATGTGCCTGTGAGGTAAAGCCTATTCAGGATGTATCTTAAAGGAGATAGCTGTGCTTTAACATATTAGTCTTTTTGGCTGCTTATGTTAATGTAAGTTGGAGAAAAACAATCTGCTTTCTGTGATAATTTGTTCTTGGAGATGGAGTGAAAGATTGTTTTAAAACATTGTCTTTTTTTTCCTCCCTGGAGTACCAGTACTATTTATTTTAGGATGTTACCGATCAAAGATGCTGTGTGGAGTTATTCATTGGTGACAGTAACAATAAATCACACCTGCAAAGGATGTTACCATAATCTAATGATTTTAAACAGTAAAATTATATTCTAAGACATCCAGTTGGCCTAAATGTGCTATATCAATGACTATTCAAGGGGCTTTTTATGTATAATATATACAAGTACTTCACAAAAATATAAAAGGATGGCAGTGACATCAAAAATCTGGCAAGCCAAAAGGCTACATTATACGTAGCAAATAAATAAGCATATAACTTATTGGAATTTAAAACCTTGTGGGATGGGTGGGTGATGGTATATATGTTAGACGTGTGAACGTATCTATTAAAAGTTGTGTCAGATAACAGCTGATGCTGACAAGCCCTTGGTAAGATGGCAGCATGTTCAGTACGTTCTGTGAAAATTATGTCAGTTTATGATCTGTCAGTATTTTGGAGCTATGCATGAAAGGACTTAAAATTCTTACCCTTTAACTCAGTAATACTATTTCTAGAACTTCTGGTGATATAGGAAATTAAGAGAATTATTTATATGCAAGGTGTTTATTGCGGCATTGTTGGAATAATGACAAAATGGGGAAGAACAAGCTAAGAATGGAGGAGGTAGCTTATAGTATAGACATACAATGCAATCCAGATGATAATATTTTATAATAGTCTTCACAAGGGATTTTATATTTTTAAAAATACATAGCAGTGAGTTTAATATCATTCCAAATATACCAAAATGTCATCATTTACTGTGTGGTGGAGTCATGATGGAGATGATAAATATAAATACTAATTTATACTAGGCATATATTACTTTATGGCTGAGGAAGGAAGACAGTTATGAAGAAAAGAAGATCTCATTCTGGAAACATACTAATTTTTCCCAGCCATAAGAGATTCCATATTTCTTTTTTTTTCCATTTACCTTGTTTCCTACCTGAGAAGATTCCATACTTCTAATAGCCATTTGTGTACCTATTTAAAGACAGTACCAAAGGCATACATTTTAGTGTTTGGAGGACGAAGGGTCGTTTGATGTTTCATGCTTATTTACCATTCTAGGATGACAAGACACCTCGAGAACACACACATACAGGCACACACATACCCCCCAAAGAAAGCTGTGAAAGAAGAAAGCAGAAAGGAACCTGGAGTGGGTTGTAACTTAAAATGTTAGTGTTGCGTGAAATGTGCTAAAACAGGAAGAGTTGAGGAAACTGCATACATTTTCTAGATGGCAAAGTATTACTGGTGACAGTTAATGAAAATGCATATGCATGTGTTTTTAGATTTGCAGATTTTACTATGAACTTTTTAAAAATCCCTGAAGAGATATAAAAAGTCTATCTTGCTTATGAAATAGAGTAGCACTTTCTAACTTTAAAACAGGGAATAATTCTTTGGATCTTGATTATTGGAAAAGTGAACTATGAATTGCTAGTATAAAACTGTGATTTTAAGATATATCTGCTTTATATTTTTACGTAGCAGATTTACCCGTAGTTAATAATACTCAAACTTCCTGAAAACTAAGGTAATTAAGATAATTCTGTCCTGATGGGAAAACAAAAAATAACTTCAGTGTGAAATCTATTGTATATTATTTGTGGCAAGACTTCTCCCCTTGACTTTGACTGGAGACATTTGTAGGGTTAAAATCAGAAATAGCACGGTGAATTTTGAAGTATCCTTTATAAAGTTTGTAGTTGGAAAGAGTATTATGTTCATATTGCCAAAAAAAGATGCATGGATGCATTAGACTGGATGGAAGATACATGAGAAGTTGGCCAGCTCCCCCTTTGTCAAAACATCACTTGGTGGTGATAAAGCTGTCAGAAAACACAGCATTCTAATGTAGTCTGTAGTTTAATGATAACCTGTGTCTTGAAACATTTAGTGTAGTACTTATACAAACCTAGATGGCATAGTGTACTGCATGCCTAGCCTATATGGTATAGCCTGTTGCTCCTAGGTATAAAGCTGTATAGCATGTTACTGTAGGCAGTTGAAACAGTGGTATTTGTGTATCCTTTTTTTTTTTTTTCTTTCTTCTTTTAAGAGACAGGATCTTACTCTGTTGCCCAGGCTGGATGCGGTGGTGTGATCATAGCTCACTATAACCTTGAACTCTGATCCTCCTTGCCTCAGCCTCCCCAGTGGCTAGGACTATAGGCACATACTACCACACCTGGCTAATTTTTTAAATTTTTTTGTAGAGATGGAATTTTGCTGTGCTGTCCAGGCTGGTCTTGGAACTCTTGTGCTACAGCAATCCACCTGCCTCCCGGAGTGTAGAATTACAAGCCGCTTCACCTGGCTTGTTTACCTAAACATAGAAAAGATCCAGTAAAAATACAGAATTATAATCTTATGGGGCCACTGTAGCGTATGTAGTCCATCTTGACTGAAATGTCATTATGCAGTGCATGATTGTACTTCATAATTTTTAAGCACTCCTCCCTCTTGATTGGTATTTAGTGGATTTTGTCATTTTTGTTTCTTCATAATTCTTTCTGAAATGCCTACTAGTTGGACCTTTGATCTCCTGAATTGATCGTGATTTCTTCTTTTGTATTTTTTGTCTTTGTCATTTATTTGTACTCTAGGAAGTTTTCTCACTTTTAGTTTCTATTCAACTTTTTGTTTTTATTTTTTCTCTCCAGTCTTTTATGGAGATACTAAATTGAAGTGTTCTGTTTCTCTCTCCACCCTACCCCTAGTTTTAAATTTTATCTCAGTTTCTATGGAGTCAGTTTTTTTGTTGCTTTAAAAAAAATGTTCCTGAAGTGATTGGTAAGTTTTGGCTAATTGGGAGCACTAGAATTGGGCCCTTAATGGTTGGCAGGGTGTGGTGAAGAGCCAGCCCTTAGCCTGTAAGGCTCAGGCCAGAAACAGAAAGAGGAAGGCTTACCTTTTCCTTTCTGGAGCTGTGTTCTGCCCTAGTTCTTGCTGGGCAGTCTATTTGATTTCTTTAGTGGTTAATGCTCAGTTTTTTGGCATATTTGGATCTGCCTCCAGAGTAGGTACAAGGTGAGTGAGTCTATGCTGTTACCTAATTAGATCCCCATTTCTATCCTTCGTTTTTACTTCTCTAACTGCCGATAAATTTTTACCCTCCTTCACCTCATAGGGTTGCGGTGAAGAGCAAGATGAATTTTTATTTATGTTGCATAAATTTTAAAAGCTAAAAAATATATATGTAATGTTGGGAAGTCCTGGTGTACAAATGGCTATTGTAAATTTGGAACATGAACATGCTTTTTTCCATTATAAAAATGAAATCGTTATAAATTGCGGTCAAGTTACTAGGTCAGCCCACACAGAGTTTACCCAGTAATATGCGTAAATGTTTTGCCTTTGCATCAACAACAAAGAAAAACAGTACTATAAAAAAGATGTTCCTGGAAGCTGGATGTATCAAAGCACTTCTTAAATAGCTATATAGTCTATAGACATGACCAGTTGGTTTCTGAGTCTGTTGACATTGGCCAAACGAGAAGCTCAGTGTAGAACATGTTTTGAGTCTCCTTTTGCAGAAATATGTTGGAGGCTGGAGTGGGGAACCAATTTTTCAGAAAGGTGGTGAAGTAGTTAAATAGCCACTCTTTTAAAGACAGTCAAAAGGTAGAAACTAAGGCCAGGCATTGGCTCACATCTGAGATAGGAAAATCACGAACCTGGAAGGCAGAGGTTGCAGTGAGCTGAGAGTGCACCTCTGCACTCCAGCCTGGTTTGGCAATAGACCGAAACTCTTGTCTCAAACAAAAGAAAACATAGTTCACACTTAAATATTTAATCCAGATCTTTCCATACCCAATATGTTATTTATAGTTCCAGATGAACTTGTTTGGGACAGATTTTGTAATAAAGGAAATTTTGTTATTAGAAATACCTAGAGGCCATGAAGTGTTCAAATTTACAGGTAGTTCCCTGTGTGATGCAGTGTTTTTTTCTGAATATTGCACAATAAAGGCAAAATACAGACATAAATGAGATGCTAAGATTTGTATATGATATTAATTTTTAAAATATTGATCAAAATAATATGTATCCATATTGATATTTGTATTTATAATAAATCATTGCTATAAATTTGAACTTAGAAAAATTTTACTAATAAAGGTGCTTTTGTGTTGCAAACTTTCATTTGAAAAGTAATTTTTCTTTGTACTAAAAAATCTAAAATTCACTATTCTTGTCACCAAAATTTGCTCTATGAAAAATAATTTTTGATGGCACTGTATTATATCAGAAAACAACTAACTTGTTAATGAAAATGTGGAGTTTTTAAAATCCCACTGTACCTCTGTTATCCAAAGGGGATCTGTGAATTTGTACCTCTGTTATCCAAAGGGGATCTGTGAATTTTTCCATGAAAGGTTAAAAACACGAAAGACCTTTTGGAATTCAGAGAGCGGCTGATTTTTGAAGAGTGTTTTCCCCTCCCTGGCTTTTATTATTACAACTCTTTGCTTTCTCATCACCATCCTGATTATCTGTAATTTATATTTCTACTATTAATAAAAAGATGTATTTGGTAAGGAGGAGTTTTCATTGAAGTTCAGCAGCGATGGAGCTGTGGTTGAGGTGTCTGGAGGAGACCATGAGGTCTTGTGTTTCACTAAATAACCTGGTAAAAGAGGATATGGGGTTTTTTTTGTGGGTGTAATAGTGACATTTAACAGGCATCCCAGTGACTTAGGAGTATTAATCAAGCTAAATTTAAATCCTAATGACTTTTGATTAACTTTTTTTAGGGTATTTGAAGTATACCATACAACTGTTTTGAAAATCCAACGTGGACAATGGCTACTCAAGGTTTGTGTCATAAATCTTTAGTTACTGAATTGGGGCTCTGCTTCGTTGCCATTAAGCCAGTCTGGCTGAGATTCCCCTGCTTTCCTCTCTCCCTGCTTACTTGTCAGGCTACCTTTTGCTCCATTTTCTGCTCACTCCTCCTAATGGCTTGGTGAAATAGCAAACAAGCCACCAGCAGGAATCTAGTCTGGATGACTGCTTCTGGAGCCTGGATGCAGTACCATTCTTCCACTGATTCAGTGAGTAACTGTTAGGTGGTCCCCTAAGGGATTAGGTATTTCATCACTGAGCTAACCCTGGCTATCATTCTGCTTTTCTTGGCTGTCTTTCAGATTTGACTTTATTTCTAAAAATATTTCAGTGGGTCATATCACAGATTTTTTTTTTTAATTAACATTTCCAATCTACTAATGCTAATACTGTTTCATATTTATAGCTGATTTGATGGAGTTGGACATGGCCATGGAACCAGACAGAAAAGCGGCTGTTAGTCACTGGCAGCAACAGTCTTACCTGGACTCTGGAATCCATTCTGGTGCCACTACCACAGCTCCTTCTCTGAGTGGTAAAGGCAATCCTGAGGAAGAGGATGTGGATACCTCCCAAGTCCTGTATGAGTGGGAACAGGGATTTTCTCAGTCCTTCACTCAAGAACAAGTAGCTGGTAAGAGTATTTTTCATTGCCTTACTGAAAGTCAGAATGCAGTTTTGAGAACTAAAAAGTTAGTGTATAGTAGTTGAAATAAAATGCTGTGGTGAAGAAAAGGGAGTAATAGCAATGTCACTTTTACCATTTAGGATAGCAAATACTTAGGTAAATGCTGAACTGTGGATAGTGAGTGTTGATTAACCTTTTCCAGATATTGATGGACAGTATGCAATGACTCGAGCTCAGAGGGTACGAGCTGCTATGTTCCCTGAGACATTAGATGAGGGCATGCAGATCCCATCTACACAGTTTGATGCTGCTCATCCCACTAATGTCCAGCGTTTGGCTGAACCATCACAGATGCTGAAACATGCAGTTGTAAACTTGATTAACTATCAAGATGATGCAGAACTTGCCACACGTGCAATCCCTGAACTGACAAAACTGCTAAATGATGAGGACCAGGTGAGCAATGACATGGCTAGCTTTTTAGTCTGCTTTGAAGTAAATGCTCAAGGGGAGTAGGTTCAGAATGTCTACCCACTACTAGGACTTGAAAACTAATGATGTTTCTGATTCCTGTATTATAGGTGGTGGTTAATAAGGCTGCAGTTATGGTCCATCAGCTTTCTAAAAAGGAAGCTTCCAGACACGCTATCATGCGTTCTCCTCAGATGGTGTCTGCTATTGTACGTACCATGCAGAATACAAATGATGTAGAAACAGCTCGTTGTACCGCTGGGACCTTGCATAACCTTTCCCATCATCGGGAGGGCTTGTTGGCCATCTTTAAGTCTGGAGGCATTCCTGCCCTGGTGAAAATGCTTGGGTAAGAAAACATTGTCAGAATGCTTGAAGCTAAAAAGTAGAAGAGTACAGTCACAATATTTCTGATGAGGCTTTTTTCTTCTTCCCAGTTCACCAGTGGATTCTGTGTTGTTTTATGCCATTACAACTCTCCACAACCTTTTATTACATCAAGAAGGAGCTAAAATGGCAGTGCGTTTAGCTGGCGGGCTACAGAAAATGGTTGCCTTGCTCAACAAAACAAACGTTAAATTCTTGGCTATTACGACAGACTGCCTTCAAATTTTAGCATATGGCAACCAAGAAAGCAAGGTAAGAGAATTCTTCTTTATGTGGTTTTCATGGAGCATCGGACACTTCCAGTGTCATGTCATTCCATGCAGTGTTCCTAACCTTTTTGGCACCAGGGATCAGTTTCGTGGAAAACAGTTTTTCCATGAATGGGTTGTGGGAATGGTTTCTAGATGACACTGTTCCACCTCAGATAGTCAGGCATTAGATTCTCATAGGGAGCGTGCAGCCCAGATCCCTCGCATGTGCAGTCCACACTAGGGTTTCCGCTCCTATGAGGCTCTCATGCTGCAGTTGATCTGACAGGAGGTAGAGCTCAAGCCAGGTAATGCTCGCTCACCTGCCACTTACCTCCTGCTGTGCAGCCCAGTTCATTTCTGTTCTTTTAAATTTTTGAGTTTCCATATGTAAAGCACTATGCGAAGTAATAGGGATATCATAGGCAAGCTTCTCTTCACACTTTTGTTCTTAGGTGGGATGTAGATGTTGGGAATAATAACCTAATATTTAATTCATGTAGTGGGAAGAAGTGGGGCTATGAGAGCACATAACACAAGTGAAACAGACTCTTTTTGAGGGTTCAAGGAGGTACCTCTTGGAGGAAGTGATAGTTGAGTTCAGTGTTCAAAGATGAGAAGGGATTCACTAGGTGAAGGTTAGGTGAGAAACAGCATCTTTGAAACGAAGGAAGGAGATGGAAAGTTTTGGGAATTTAAGAAATATTAACAGTAAAGAGGAAGAAAGGTTTGAGGTGAGGCTATTGAGATAGACTCAGCAGATCTCATAGGGCTTTGTACAGCATGTTTAAAAGCACAATGGAAAATTTCAGCAGAAGCATGAAATGATGAAATTTGTTTTTAGAAAATTGGGGCAGTGTTGGAAGATACACAGGGAATGAAAGGACAAGAGTGAATGATCATTTTATGGTATCTCTTTTTAAGGTGGATATAATTAGGAAAATTAAAGGGCCAAGTGATAAGGAGTTTTAAGTGCCAGTTCTGGTTCAAATTTTCAGTGAATCAGTTTTGATATAACTTTCATCTTAGGGCATTAATCTTGCCTACCAACATGGTTTCTAAATTTTTTTCTTCTGCTATGATCAGTATGGGAAGAAGGAAATTGGGCCAAAACTGATACATTCTTGGGAGGACTGGGATGTCTGAATTTGAGTGGAATGCTTTAAAAGGACAAGTTGGATAGGGCCCCAGTATGGGGGTCAGAGTGATGGGGTCCAGGAATACATTTAGGTCCAATGACAAGCTGGCTGAAATTCTTGTATAATAAAATATGTTGGTGATATGGCTCTTCTCAGACATGTGATCAAGATTCCATGACTAACAAGATATGTATATATCTTTCTAGCTGATCATACTGGCTAGTGGTGGACCCCAAGCTTTAGTAAATATAATGAGGACCTATACTTATGAGAAACTACTGTGGACCACAAGCAGAGTGCTGAAGGTGCTATCCGTCTGCTCTAGTAATAAGCCAGCTATTGTAGAAGCTGGTAAGTATATGTATCTATTCTGAGTCTTGTGTACAGCATCTGCAGTTCTAATTAGATTACTTTTCTTAGGAAAAGGTGGTAGAACTTTAACGACTGAAAATAGATGGTCCTATTCAATCTGCAGCCAAGATTACATTCAAGTACTTGTCATCTGGATTGTAGCTAAATATTTAAGGGTAGTTTAGGTAGATTTCTTATTATCCATCAATGATGGCATATATTTTGCTTAATAAAATTTGTTTGTAATTTCAGTTTTGAGTAAACCTAAGATTTGCTAGCAGACCTGTGAATTTATAGGAGAAATGACAAATTCTAATACAGTACAGTTTTATGTAATAAAGTGATTGCTTTATTAGTAGATGCTCATGAGCAGTTTTTTTGTTTTGTTTTAACTTTTAGGTACGGGGTAATGTGCAGGCTTGTTATATAGGTAAATTGCATGTCATAGGGGTTTGGTGTGCAGATTATTTTGTCACTCAGGCAGTAAGTATTGTACCCAATAGGTACTTTTTCAGTTCTTTACCTCCCACCCTTAAGTAGGCCCCAGTGTCTGTTGTTCCCTTCTTTATGCCCAGGGGTACTCAGTGTTTACCTCCCACTTATAAGTGAGAACATGTGGTATTTGGTCTTCTGTTCCTGTGTTAGTTTGCTTAGGATAATGGCCTCCAGCTCCATCTGTGTTGCTGTGGAAGACATCTTGGTCTTTTTTTTATGGCTGCATAGTATTCCATAGTATATATGTACCACATTTTCTTTATCCAGTCTACCATTGATGGGCATTTAGGTTAATTCCGTATCTTTGCTATTGTGAATAATGCTGCAGTGAACATATGCGTGCATGTGTCTTTATGGTAGAAGATTTCTTTTTCTTTGGGCATATACCTAATAATAGGATTGCTGGGTTGAATGGTAATTGTATCTTGAGTTTTTTGAGAAATCACCAAATTGCTTTCCACAATGGCTGAACTAATTTACTTTCCCACCAGCAGGGTATAAGCATTCTCTTTTCTAAGCAACCTCACCAGCATCATACTTTTTATTAGTAGCTATTCTGACTGGCGTGAGACGGTATCTCATTGTGGTTTTGATTTGCATTTCTCTAATGATCAGTGATGTTGAGCTTTTCTTCATATGATTCTTGGCCACTTGCAGGTCTTCTTTTGAAAAGTGTTCATGTCCTTTGCCCACTTTTTAATGGAGTTGTTTGTTTTTTGCTTGTTAATTTAAGTTTATTGTAAAGTCTGGATATTAGACTTTTGTCAGATGCATAGTTTGCCAATACTTTCTCCCATTCTGTAGGTTGTCTGTTTACTCTGTTGATTTCTTTTGCTGTGCAGAAGCTCTTTATACTGTCCCGTTTGTCAGTTTTTATTTTTGTTGCAGTTTCTCTTGGCATCTTCGTCATGAAATCTTTGACAGGTCTTATGTCCCGAATGGTATTTCTTAGGTTATCTTGGCAGAGTTTTTACAGTTTTAAGTTTTATATTTAAGTCTTTAATCCATTTTGAGTTGATTTTTGTACATCATGTAAGGATGGGGTGCAGTTTCAATCTTGGATGTGGCTAGTGAGTTATCTCAGCACCATTTATTGAATAGGGAGTCATTTCCCCATTGCTTGTTTTTGTTGACTTCTTAGGTGTGCAGCCTTATTTCTGAGCTCACTATTCTGTTCTGTTGGTCTGTGTGTCTGTTTTTATACCAGTACCATGCTGTGACTGTAACCTTGTATTAACAGTATAGCTTGAAGTTGGGTAAAGTGATTCCTCCAGTTTTGTTCTTATTGCCTAGGATTGCCTTGGCTATTCAGGCTCTTTTTTGGGTTCATGTGAATTTTTAAATAGTTTTGTTTGTTTTTTTTTTAATTCTGTGAAGAATGCCATTGGTAGTTTGATAGGAATAGCATTGAATCTGTGAATTGCTTTGGGCAGTATGGCCATTTTAACAATATTGATTCTTCCTATCCATGAAATAGAATGTCTTTTCATTTGTTGGTGTCATCTCTGATTTCTTTAAGCAGAGTTTTGTAATTCTTGTTGTAGAGATCTTTCACCTCCGTGGTTAGCTGTATTCCTAGGTATTTTATTCTTTTTGTGGCTTTTGTAAATGGGATTGCATTCTTGATTTGGCTTGTAGCTTGGATGTTGTTAGTGTATAGAAATGTTTCTGACTTCTGTACATTAATTTTTATATCCTGAAACTTTGCTGAAGTTTATTGGATCAAGGAGCTTTTGGGCAGAAATTATGGGGTTTTCTAGGTATAGAATCATATTGTTTGCAAACAGACTTCCTATTTGTATGCATTTTCTTTCTCTTGCCTGATTATGACCAGTGTTTTGCCCTGATATTCTGTATTCTCAGTGAATAGATATCATCTAAGTATGAGAAACAATTTTTTTCTATTCTGAGTATTTTTAAGGAGGCAACTTGTATGTGGTACTTTGTATCTTATGTATGTTGGCAATTGGGGAAAAGAATAGATGGTTTGTACTAGGGCCTCTTGGAGTGTGTGTGTGTCATGAAAATACTCTTTAGCTACCTAGCATTTTTTCTCCTTTCAGTAACCCACCTAACAACATTTACCCAGAATTTCAAAGCAAGCTTCAAATCAGTATTGAAAGAGGGAAAAATATAAAGGCATTTAATGGAAGGAAATATTGGGAGTAAAGTATAGGGCTGGCAACACTTATTTTTCCCACTTATTGAGAGTAATTTTACTTGGGATTTTATGAGAGAGAAAGACATTATGATTGCTCCAGGTAACTGCTGGCAGTGGAGCCATAGGCTTGGGGAGAGACAAATGTGGCTGAGTTCATACAGAATAAGGGGATGTAAATTCTGTCAGCTGTTCCAGCAGTAACCTGTTATGTAGGCTAAAAATACAGATTTTGAGATTTATTTAGTTAGAATCCCTGGAGTGTTAATTTTTATATCAAGATCTCATAGTGTTTATTTGAAGTGACAGGGAGGTCTGTAGATAGCTGGAGTTGTATGGGACCGGAAGCCTAGGAAGTTTTTCTTCCAGGTTATTCTTACATTTATTTGTTTATTCTGAACATAGCATCTAATGTATTTTAAGAAATGGAGTAGGCACGTGGTATACATTGGGTAACACAACATTGCTTGTTTTTATAGTCTTGTGAAGGTGACAAAAGTATTTAAAAATATGTGATCATAAATTAGAATGAGTGTTATGGGAGAAGTGAACAGCAAATAGTGATAAGAATTAATGGGGAGGGGAATTGTCTAATTAGATGAGAGGGAAAGGGTTTCCTTGAAAAGGGGATAAGTGGGACTGCAGGATGAGAAGGAACCTCTCTCTTGTCTGTATGAGAAGTGAGGGTTAAATGTTTTCCAGGTAGAGAAAAGGAACACCATGTGCTATGTCTTAGAACCAGGGGTATCCAGTCTTTTGGCTCCCCTGGGCCACATTGGAAGAAGAGTAATTGTCTTGGACTACACACCAAATACACTAATGATAGCTGATGAGCTAAAACAAACAAACAAAAAATTGCAAAAGAATCTCATAATGTTTTAAGACAGTTTACGAATTTGTGTTGGGCACATTCAGAGCTGTCCTGGGCCATGTGGCCCATGGGCTGCAGGTTGGACAAGCTTGCCTTAGAAGGAAAGAGATTGTGGAGATCTAGGTGCTGAAGAGGAGGTCTGTGTAAACAGAACTTAGTAAGTAATGAGGTGGATGGCCTGGTATGAGGTTGAGGTTAGGTAAGCAGAGCCATAACATGCAGGACTTTCTAGGTTCCTATAAGATGTTTACTACTCATGGAGTTTATTCATGCTTTATTCCAGCTTTGGAGCCATAGATACAGAATACTTTGGTCAGTTTGGAAGGCTAAGTGGGATCCAAATTCTAAACGGTTCCTCGGGGTTATACTAAAGTATTGTCTACTATCTTAAAAGGATGCCGAGACACTTTTGATGGTTGTTGATCAATAACAAAGCATCACAGTGGTGTGTTTAAAATATTAATAATAGCATTGTGTAGATTAACAGTTTGAATGACCAAAAGGTAGAAGACCAGACTGCTGAGATGTTATAGGCTTTTAGGAATGAAATAGTTTGGTTTTAGAACTAAATAGCTAAGGGCAAATGTCTGAGATGTCTGAATCACAGAATGTAATAATATAGGAGCTAAGGGAGCAACCAAAAATGGTTTGTGGAGAGGACAGTATTGGTACCATGAAGATAAATGGAACCCTCAGAAGGCATCCTTAATTTTTGAACATAATAATTTAAGAAGCCAACTTAGGCCGGGCGTGGTGGCTCACGCCTGTAATCCCAGCACTTTGGGAGGCTGAGGCAGGTGGATCACCAGGTCAGCAGATCGAGGCCATCCTGGCTAACACGGTGAAACCTCGTCTCTACTAAAAATACAAAAAATTAGCCATTTAGCCAGGCATGGTGGCGGGCGCCTGTAGTCCCAGCTACTTGGGAGGCTGAGGCAGGAGAAGGAGAATGGCGTGAACCCGGGAGGCGGAGCTTGCAGTGAGCTGAGATCGCGCCACTGCACTCCAGCCTAAGCGACACCATCTCAAAAAAAAAACAAAAAACAAAAAACGAAGCTGACTTAAAGTGACTAAAAGGTCAGTAGGTAGCTGGAAATGTAAGGTACTAGAGAATGCAAGAGAGGCAGGCTAGAGATTTGGGAGTTTCCCTTTTAGTATATAGGGGTAAGGGCAGCAGGGAAGGGGAGGTAGAGATGCCACAGAGTCATCTGCATGGGACTTTTTTTACCCTAGAACTGCTGAAACAGAATGTGTGTGTTTTAAAGTCTCTGTAGGCCATTCTGATGGACATCTGGGGTTAAAATCCATTCTCTTAGAGTTAATAGTTATGTAAAGGCAGGGAATGAAGTCTTAATGAGGGGAAAGAAGGTCGTTATTTCACAAATACTGAGCATCCTGAGTATCAGTCTTATGCAGATCATTCTATTAGTAGCTGGAGCTACTATGAAAAAGGAACCCAATAGAGGTGATCTTTGTCTTGTAGGGAAAGTGGACTAACTTATACTATGAAGAAGTGCAGAGTACCGTAAGAATTACAGCAAATAGACCTCATCTGAGGAAATAAAACAGACCTAAAAGATGAAGGAGACAAGGAAAAGTTATCTCTTACTGCATTTAGAAGTGGTTTAAGTTGAAGATAGAGGGGTGAAGTTAATCTAGTATGTGGGCATTGGGCTTCCATTTATACTCCTTTGCCAGAGTAAATGTCCCCCATTTAAGGGTCCTAAAGGATGGAAGGTCGTGAACCTTGGAACACATGTATTGCAGTCAGCGAATTGTATAAAGTCCCTGGCAGTAAAGTGTTTTCATGCCGACTTTCTGGATTGTTCTTACCCCAGGAATTTACCTAGCTTCTTTAGGTCTTTAGTCAGATGTCACCTTCACAGTGAGATGACCTAATTACTTAAAATTGCAGCCCCACTCCATTGTTTTTCTCCATAGCCCTTTAATATCATCTGACCTACTGTATGGTTTTAGTTTATTGTATATTTGTTGTCTGCCTCTTCCAACTAGATCATAAGTTCTGAGGGTAGGAACTTTTGAATATTTTTGCTCACTGGTGTATCTCCAGCTCAGAACAGGACCTGACAGTGAATAAATATTTTTGAAATGATTGAATGGATGAAAAGAAATTAATAAGAATATTACCGCCGGGCATGGTGGCTCTCACGCTTGTAATCTCAGCGCTTTGGGAGGCCAAGGCAGGCGGATCACAAGGTCAGGTGATCGAGACCATCCTGGCTAACATGGTGAAACCCCGTCTCTACTAAAAAATATAAAAAATTAGCCGGGCGCCTGTAGTCCCAGTTGCTCGGGAGGCTGAGGCAGGAGAATGGCATGAACCCGGGAGGCAGAGGTTGCAGTGAGCCGAGATTGTGCCACTGCACTCCAGTCTGGGCGACAGAGCGAGACTCCGTCTCAAAAAAAAAAAAAAAAAAAAATTACCTAAGGGGGATAGTGGAGATAACAAAGACTTCTTCAGCTTAGGAAAGGAACAGTAGCTATTTGACAATTTGTCACTAGTGATGTGAACTGGCAAAACGAGGGAAACTGAGCAACATTCTAGAAAATGAGAGGAAAACAAATACTTAGGTGAAAGGAAGTAAACTCTGGAAATAAAGAAGGACACCTTCTAAGACTAGAAAATATTTAGGATTGATAGGAACTTCTAGCTAATGACTAGGGCCTTACATCCTTTTTAATTTTCTAGGTGGAATGCAAGCTTTAGGACTTCACCTGACAGATCCAAGTCAACGTCTTGTTCAGAACTGTCTTTGGACTCTCAGGAATCTTTCAGATGCTGCAACTAAACAGGTAAATTCTGAGTAAATTGACGCCATGGGGATAGAGTCAAGATGAGTATGTGCTTGTGCTGACCATTTGTTTTTATCTTCATAGGAAGGGATGGAAGGTCTCCTTGGGACTCTTGTTCAGCTTCTGGGTTCAGATGATATAAATGTGGTCACTTGTGCAGCTGGAATTCTTTCTAACCTCACTTGCAATAATTATAAGAACAAGATGATGGTCTGCCAAGTGGGTGGTATAGAGGCTCTTGTGCGTACTGTCCTTCGGGCTGGTGACAGGGAAGACATCACTGAGCCTGCCATCTGTGCTCTTCGTCATCTGACCAGCCGACACCAAGAAGCAGAGATGGCCCAGAATGCAGTTCGCCTTCACTATGGACTACCAGTTGTGGTCAAGCTCTTACACCCACCATCCCACTGGCCTCTGATAAAGGTAAATTGTCAAAGTAGAATTTACCTTTGTTGCAGAATTGAAAATGAAGCATCTCTAGCCGTTGGATGGCTAAGCATAGTGATCAATAAATAGGAATTGTATTCCTTAGTAAGTAGGAAGTATGGCTGCGATAGGGGTAGGATTCTGAAATGTTTGTGTAGTCAGAACTACTTTTAGTTGTTCCCAATAGATTTAGTGTGGTGGGAATTTTAGGCTAAGAAAATGATTGTGTTGAGTTGTATGCCAATTCTTCCTTCTGTTTTTCAGGCTACTGTTGGATTGATTCGAAATCTTGCCCTTTGTCCAGCAAATCATGCACCTTTGCGTGAGCAGGGTGCCATTCCACGACTAGTTCAGTTGCTTGTTCGTGCACATCAGGATACCCAGCGCCGTACGTCCATGGGTGGGACACAGCAGCAATTTGTGGTGGGTAAATTCTTATAGTGATACCTGGCTGTCTAAAAGGAATGCATAGATCCAAAGATCCTGAACTTCTTTGGTCATTTGTTCTCCCCGTCCCTTTTCCTGAAGAGCTGATGACAAAATATGACTGCAGAGAAGATAAGGCATAGTGTGGCCCCAGTGATATTTCCTTGGACACGTCCTTCACATGGTCAGTCTTACAAAGGTTGGGTTAGGCATTTCATGCAGTGTTCTCATTTAATTTACACAAAGGCCCACTTAGGAAGAGGTAGAGTCATAATTTGAGACCAAATCTGTGTAATTTCAGAGCTTCTTACCCTTGCCTCATCATGAATTTTGACAATAAATATTTAGCAGTCGATTTTATTATCTTTTCTGTGAGTTAAACTTTTTTCATGGACCTAAGAATATAGTATAGACATACTTCAAAAATAAGTAGTAGCATTTCTGTACTCTTAACCACAATAGTCTCAACCTGAAGCTTTGATACAAAGTTTGGGTCTTAAAAGTAGCTTCATTAAAAGTATAGTCTGAAGATACTTCTGATTTCTCAGACTTTAAGACCTTATTTAATTAGGTTAGTTTAGAAAACAAAGATGGAGCCTACCAGAACAGATTTTAGGAATCTCATTTTGCTGGTTGCTTTGTGTATGTACTCATATTGGGGCTTTGGCTTGCTTCATTTATTACTGTTGGTATTGGCTCATCTCCATGAGGTAACTTAATAGAATGTTGAGGGAATCTTTTATTTTAAATCTCTTTTCTAGGAAAAAAGGAGTTTTTGTGTCCTTGCAAGAATCAAATTATTTATAAAAGCTGCTAAATATAGCAGAATCATAACCCCTTTTAAAACTCAAATCCAGAAACAGGAGAAACAGATGGTACTTACATATTGCAAAAGCTAACTTCTCCTATACATGAGACTGTCAGCTGAATAGTCTTGGAAGAGTGAGGAGTGGATTTTTCTGCTGGCAACTCAGTTAGTTTTAGCAGTTGGTGCTAAAACTTGGCAAAGTTTTCACCAAATACATGGAAGATGTACAAAAATAGAGGGGGCATGTAGAGGAAAAACGTTAACATAGTCTGAGCATTACTTTCTCATCTTCTCTTTTTATATACCTTTTACTCAGAATGATTGGTTCCCTTACCGTAGGAAAGTTGTCTTCGGGATTCAGTGCTGTGTGGAAGCTCTGTTGCACTGTGTATGGGGAAAGGGTGCTGCCTTGAATTAGTGCTGCCAGGAGGCCTCTTTTCAGTGACATTCAAGTTAATGGAATCCTCCTTCATTCCCAAACTAATTGCAAGTTATGGGGAACTTCGGGTATATAATGTAAATAATTATAGTCTAATACTTGTTCCTCAGAATGCAAAGCCTTTCAAGTTCAGAAACTTTACAGAGGAGAATGCCCTATTTGTTAACCATGTTTCTTTTGGCAGGAGGGGGTCCGCATGGAAGAAATAGTTGAAGGTTGTACTGGAGCCCTTCACATCCTAGCTCGGGATGTTCACAACCGAATTGTAATCAGAGGACTAAATACCATTCCATTGTTTGTGCAGGTATGTTGCTTTTAAGTGTTCTAGGTTTTATGTCCCTAAAATTTCCAGATTGTAATGACTAATAAAATTACAGAAAATTAGGGACCATAATAGGGGCACCAATATTTAATTTTATGAAAATTCCCTTCATTTTTTTGGTCAGTAGGAGAAACACTGAGACTCGAGAAGAGGGAGGAGATTTCACATTTCACTTTTACGGGTGCCTAGTTTTAGAGGGGAGAGCTGACCTGGGCTGCCAGAGGCGGGACATAGGCCCCCAACCAATTCTGGATTTTCCAAATCTTAGATCAGTTAGAGTTGCCTCTAAAGAAAGGGTTTATAGCTAAAAAGTATTCTGGAAATCCAATGCTCCAGGGTATTAAACACCCTAGGACATAAAATTCAGAGAATATTATTTTCTACAGTGTGAATGCCTCTTGCACTCTGAATTCGGAATGTTTGCACCACAGTGGGGGGCTTGTCATGTTTTAGCTTTAGATTTAATTAGGTTTTGTTTGTGTTTTCTCCCTAGCTGCTTTATTCTCCCATTGAAAACATCCAAAGAGTAGCTGCAGGGGTCCTCTGTGAACTTGCTCAGGACAAGGAAGCTGCAGAAGCGATTGAAGCTGAGGGAGCCACAGCTCCTCTGACAGAGTTACTTCACTCTAGGAATGAAGGTGTGGGTAAGTAAAAAGGAACCAAAGCCTTTAGCAGATGTGTACATTGAAGTCTCAGTTTTTCCTCAAGGGCCTTTTTTTCCTTGTCTCTTAGCGACGTATGCAGCTGCTGTTTTGTTCCGAATGTCTGAGGACAAGCCACAAGATTACAAGAAACGGCTTTCAGTTGAGCTGACCAGCTCTCTCTTCAGAACGGAGCCAATGGCTTGGAATGAGGTAGGGAAATGTGAGCAGTTATTTATCTGGTAGTTTCGTAGAGCGGGTAAAGCAGCTTGTTCTTTCCTCTCGAAACACTTAGTATACATTCATTTGCATTGATGTTTCCCTGGCTTGAGTATTTCTTCTTTATGCTGTCCAGCAACTGCCCTAAGGAAGAACTATAACACAAACTTTAAAGCGCCTGTTCAGAATCATTACAAATAAGTTGTGCTATTTAAAATTATAATTCATAAGGGAGAAAGATGAAAAATGTTACCAGATTAAAGATGATTTTTCAAAAGGATATAAGGAAAGAGGCAGTGTTAAACACTGTTAGAGGACAGTTTGTCAGTAGTTTTTACTAAACTTTAATAAAACTTTTCTATTTGAATTTCTGCTATGAATTTGTCTTCAGTATTTGTCCTCAGTACTGGTGTCCTTTGAAACATTGTTTCTAAAAAAACTAGAACCACCCTGGAAGTTTATTTTATCCACTCTGTAGTGATCACTGATGGTACACAGTCGTAACAGTGGATTATATTTGTTGAGTAAATGGAAAGAGAGATTATTAGGTTTAAAACGATGCATCTCTTGAGGCCAGGAGTTCAAGATCAGCCTGGGCAACATAGTGAAACCCCATCTCTACAAAAAAATGTAAAAATTAGCTGGGCATGGGGATGGATGCCTATAGTCCTAGCTACTGGGGAGGCTGGGACAGGAGGATTGCTTGAACCCAGGAGTTAACAGACTGCACTCAGCAACAGAGCCAGACTCCAACTCAAAAAAAAAAAAAAATAGAGCAAATTACCAGTGAGTGGTGTGTTACTTGGGTTTTTAATAGGCATCTTATTAACATGTTCCAACTTGAGCCCTTAACTTTCTCCACCTACCCCCTTCCACAAACCTGTTTTGACTGTCTTCTCTGTCTTGATGTCAGCTTTGTCTGTCCAGCTGCTCAGGCTAAAACTTTTCTTTCATACAACACATGCTGTCAGCAGCTCCTGTTTGGGGGTAGGCATTTTGCCTGTTTTTTTTTTTTTTAAACTGCTATATCTCTAGCACGTAGAACAGTGCCTGGCAGCACATAGTCGGTGCTTAATATGTATTTGTTGAAAGATCAAGTCAGTGAGTATTTTTAATGTGAGGTGCAAAGAGAAAAAAAATGTATCTTTGAGGGGTGGAGTTTTGAAGAACTTCCATTTTCTAAGTATTTGTGTAATGTTGGAGTTACTTGTTTCCTTTGTAATCTGAAAGTATGCTTTAAAAAAATTAGTGTACTTTTAAGTTGAGAATTTTCATTTTGCTTTTTATTCTTTCTTGCCTTGTGCCTGTTTATCTAGACTGCGGATCTTGGACTTGATATTGGTGCCCAGGGAGAACCCCTTGGATATCGCCAGGATGGTATGTGTCTCATATTTCTCGATTAACTCCAGATCAAGCTAAAGTTCTAACACTTGATCAGAAGAGCTGGTTTGCCCATCTGGGAAACTAGTGTTGGCAGAAAAGTAATGGCTTCAATTAAAAGCAGTTCTTAAATTCCAGTCAGCAACAGTATCTTTAACGGAGCACAGGGAATTCAGAGCCACACAATGAATAGCAGTAGGATTACACCACCGACAAATACATGCTACTACTAGGCCTCTGCAGTGTAGGATGTTACAGTTTACCTGGCTTTTTATTCTCTTTTTGGCCAGAGGACTCATAATACCTTTTGTCTACAAGCTACCCAAGGAAGACAGGAAAACTCCTGTCTCTAGGCTCAGATCTGGGGTGGGTTTTTACATAGTTGCATTATCAGGGTTTTCTTGAAAAGCTAATTCACATCTGGGTAATGAACACAGAGGATGGGGTAGACCAGTAACAATTATAACTGTTACATTTATAACCTCATCTGCTTCTACCTAATTATAAAACCACTGAAGCGCAGATTCTTACCGTGACAAATAACATGTCAACCCTAAGATAAAATATGTTGAGGTTTCATTGAAATAGTGCCTTAACTTTCCTTAGTACTTTTGTTGGTGTCACTTGGACTTTTTGTCAAGATAGATTACACCTGCCAGACCTTATTATTGTCTTAATCCTCCTTCCCATGAGTTCTCATTGCCTAGGTGGTCACACAGTAGATTCCTGCTTCTCCTCCTTGGGAACCCCAAGTCTCTGACAGGGGTAAATGCAGTGTGGGGTTAGACTAATGATGTGACTAGGCCCTGCTGGTGTGCCTCTCTGATGGAAACAGATGTTATTTGTGTAGTCTCATGGGTGGTCTGGCACTGAGTAATTACTTGGCTAAAGAAAGCTAGAAGTCGAAGAGGCTAGAAAGCATCATTTGCTGACAAGTTTGCTGCTGAACTTCGGATGCCCTAACCTCAGTGTTAACGTCTATGTCTGTTTCTCTCCTCTGTCTTTTGCCTTCCTTCTGGCCTATTTTGTTGACATCCTGACTCTTCTAGATCCTAGCTATCGTTCTTTTCACTCTGGTGGATATGGCCAGGATGCCTTGGGTATGGACCCCATGATGGAACATGAGATGGGTGGCCACCACCCTGGTGCTGACTATCCAGTTGATGGGCTGCCAGATCTGGGGCATGCCCAGGACCTCATGGATGGGCTGCCTCCAGGTGATAGCAATCAGCTGGCCTGGTTTGATACTGACCTGTAAATCATCCTTTAGGTAAGAAGTTTTAAAAAGCCAGTTTGGGTAAAATACTTTTACTCTGCCTACAGAACTTCAGAAAGACTTGGTTGGTAGGGTGGGAGTGATTTAGGCTATTTGTAAATCTGCCACAAAAACAGGTATATACTTTGAAAGGAGATGTCTTGGAACATCGGAATGTTCTCAGATTTCTGGTTGTTATGTGATCATGTGTGGAAGTTATTAACTTTAATGTTTTTTGCCACAGCTTTTGCAACTTAATACTCAAATGAGTAACATTTGCTGTTTTAAACATTAATAGCAGCCTTTCTCTCTTTATACAGCTGTATTGTCTGAACTTGCATTGTGATTGGCCTGTAGAGTTGCTGAGAGGGCTCGAGGGGTGGGCTGGTATCTCAGAAAGTGCCTGACACACTAACCAAGCTGAGTTTCCTATGGGAACAATTGAAGTAAACTTTTTGTTCTGGTCCTTTTTGGTCGAGGAGTAACAATACAAATGGATTTTGGGAGTGACTCAAGAAGTGAAGAATGCACAAGAATGGATCACAAGATGGAATTTATCAAACCCTAGCCTTGCTTGTTAAATTTTTTTTTTTTTTTTTAAATATCTGTAATGGTACTGACTTTGCTTGCTTTGAAGTAGCTCTTTAATTTTTTCTTTTTTTTTTTTTTTTGCAGTAACTGTTTAAGTCTCTCGTAGTGTTAAGTTATAGTGAATACTGCTACAGCAATTTCTAATTTTTAAGAATTGAGTAATGGTGTAGAACACTAATTCATAATCACTCTAATAATTGTAATCTGAATAAAGTGTAACATTGTGTAGCCTTTTTGTATAAAATAGACAAATAGAAAATGGTCCAATTAGTTTCCTTTTTAATATGCTTAAAATAAGCAGGTGGATCTGTTTCATGTTTTTGATCAAAAACTTTATTTGGGATATGTATGGGTAGGGTAAATCAGTAAGAGGTGTTATTTGGAACCTTGTTTTGGACAGTTTACCAGTTGCCTTTTATCCCAAAGTTGTTGTAACCTGCTGTGATACAATGCTTCAAGAGAAAATGCGGTTATAAAAAATGGTTCAGAATTAAACTTTTAATTCATTCGATTGTGTCACTCTTTTTTTTCTTGTCACTAAATGGTGAGGGTGGTAAGTTTATCCAGTTCAACTTTATACTGAGGAAGATACATAGTGAAGTAATTTGTTATAGCGATAGAGAGGTCCTTACTTCTCTAGATGCAATTTGCCAAGTTTCTTCAGCATTTGGCCCTGGGTTACATTGCACCCCCAAAAACGTGTTTCAGCCTTGCACATTGTGATTAGTTCTGGGCTTTTGTGGGAGAAAGCCAAGCAGACTGTCTCTCTCTCTCTACCCCAATCTCCCAGATGGTTTGATTCCATTAAGGTAATGAAATATTAACTACCTGGATTTGGATTTGAATCACCTTCACACAAGTGTGACTCATTGGGAGAGGGGAATTCCTTCAACTCTACTTTGAACTAATAATTAAATAGGTTTAAATGTTGATGTTTATCTGAACATAATCAGAACCAGAATGAGCCTTCCACACTATCTGCCAGATGATCCTATCATCCTGGTGGTAGGTCTGACAAGCTTAGTTCATCTCTTCAGGTAGACCTGTTAAGACTTGTTTTGGTCTTATAAAAAGTGAAAGTGTTTTGTCTTTAGGGAGAGCTGTTTCTGATTTACTGTTTTTATTTTGATAGTGACTATTATGAGAAAAACATACATTCAGTTCTTTTTCATGAAAAATCAGCTTCATCTGGGGAGGCCTTTTTGTGAATGCCCCTGCTTTGCAAAAATAATAAATTCTTCATTGTGGTCTAAAATGTAATTAGGGTTTGAAAAGAAACATTCACATAGCTGATGAGGTGGTAGGTCTCAGGTTCTGTCTGTCTCTCGTGTGATAAACCAAACCAGCCAGTATTTCAAGAAGCCTAGGGCTATTGGTAGGTTAACACTGTGAAGATCTTCAGTGAATTCAGCTTTCAACATAAAGAGCCACCGCAGGGTGTTTCATTTACAGAACTTTTTAAAACCAGAAAACGTTTTCAGAGCTTTGCTAATTCATTGTATTTTTGAAGTTTAAAAACTTTTAATGTGAAAGTTAATCCAGTTCAGCAAGGTGGTTCTGGAAATACCAAGGGTGAATAATAGCCAAGACGCTTAGGAAAAATAGGAGTATTTGCTTTAGCAGCTGTCAAGGCCTAACTAATATAAAGCTAAAGTTAGTTAACCCTGTTAAAGGAATAGGGATAGAATAATAGGCATTTGAAGACTCTTCAGAGACAGCGTTGGAGATCAGTGTGGGAGGAGAGGGACTTTTTCATAAAGGTGTGAAACAGCCATTGGAATAAAAAATACAGAAAAACATCCATGACCCAACAAAATATCAAGATTTTAAATAAAGGCAGTATCACTGATTGTTTCTTTTGCCTCAAGCGTCAGTAAGGCTTGGTGGGCCACAATGTTGGCAGTCTATCCTGGATGCCCATGTGTCCAACGATCTCTTCACACAAGAGACACTGGAGTGAAAAACGACAGCTTCGGTGATGTGGGTATCAGTATAGTATGCATATATTTCACATAATACTGAACAAAAGTCACAGATGCATGCTTTAGAACTCCATTGATCTTCATTGATTCAAAAAAGGGACAAGCTATTTTAAGGAAAATATCCGCGGATGGAGCGACGAGATGATTAGTTGACTAGAAATCAGAATAATGGTTACCTGGAGAGGGAGGTGCACAGGATGCTGGCAAGGTGCCTAACCTTTCCTGTAAATGGTGGTGAAGAAAGTGAGGTCAAGTTTTCAATACCAGAAATAGTGGTGGGGAGGAAAAGGCCTAAATGAAATGCTGCCCACTTGCATTTTTGGGTACAGGAGGTGAAAATGACAAAGTGAACATGGCCGTTGAGAATAGGAGGGCTTTCCAGTGTAAGTTTTCTTTTTTCAGTTGTGCTGTAGTTAATGAGACAGCCTTGAGAGTTAAGACATTTGATCCCATTGCAGCAACCACCATTGAACCAAAAGAAGGAAGCTTTTCTATGTTGGGGCAGATCTTACAGACATGAAGCTTTGAAATCTGATGATCTGAATCCTTAATAATGAAAGATCTTAAGATAAATACACTCTAACTCTTGGTTACTATAATAAAAAGATGTGAATTGTGCTGTTTTGTTTATAAAGCAAAGAATGCTAAATTGATCTGCAGTTCTATTAAGTGAGAACCTGCCTTGCCTTGCCTTGAGCAGATCACCCACCGAAGTGAAATTATGATATCACGGCCTCCTGTGTGGAATTTTGTATAGTATCCATTCCACCACTTGAGACTCCAGTAAACGTAGAAGGAAGTGACAAGTTTCAGAGTTCAGGTTGTGGGGGAAGGTCATAACAGGTATAAGGGTATGCAGGAAGGCAAAGGAGAAACTCCACCCCTATGTATTTCCAAGGTAGGTTTGGGCATGAATGGGGAAAGGTCCGTGTGTCCATACATGTAATTTCCATGTTAGGTACGACTGAGAGCCACTCTGTGACAAAGCAGTTCTACTCAGAATTATTTGAGGTATACTCCCAAGTATGTACAAGGAATTCATTGCAGCGCTATCAGAGATAGCAACCCAAATAGCTATCAAAAGGGAACCTAACTAGTTAAGCAAATTTTGATGCATCTATTTGGTGGACCACTGCAGTCAAAAGGGGGAAAAACTGGCACATAAAGCTGTGTTTTGGTATAAAATGGTCTTTGAAATACATTATTAGGAGAAAAAGCAAGGAGCAGAGTTGACAGCTGCTCACATATGGGTAAAACGGGGTGGGTGCAGAATCTGTGAAGACATGCATAGACCATCCCTGGATGCACACAAAGACCCTGGTGACAATGGGCACCTTGTAGGAGGAGACAGGGAGAGGACTAACATAGTGTGAGGGAGAGACTCTGCTGTCTATCTTTTGGGTGTTTTCACCAGGCTTCATTGGTGCCAGGCTTCTGGATTGGATATTACCATTCAAATGTAATCATTAAAACAATGCATTTGTCCACCGCCTCAACATCAAGCCTCTGATGGGAGAGGCCAGAGGCTGGACTTTAAGGGCCAGTTTAAAGCTCCTCATTCTAGGCCCAGCTTCTTGCTCCCACACACCACTTCTCAACCGCACTGAAGCCTGAGGCCAAGACTGCCTAGCTTTGCCTAGTCTCCCCCAACCCCACTCCAGACAGCTCTCCCAGGAGGCCGAGCCTCTTGTAGCTTTCTTGTAGCCATACCACTTGCTACCGTAGCCCCTGTATGTATAAGATTATATTCCACATTGCATTTTTCTGTTGCCAGGGGAAAGAAAAAGGGCATCTTGCTTCAGGTGGAGACAGGAGAGACCTGGTGAGGGAGATTCCTCTCCCATCACCTTGTACAAGAGCCTTAGCCACCAGAGCCCCTATTTTCTCAACTATAACACAGGGATGATGGCTGCCCTGTGTTCACAGAACCGACCTGAGAACCTCATTAGCTAACAGGAGAAACTTGAAAAGATAAACTGCAAAGAACCATAAGAGTAAATTCTGTTGCTGCATTCCACTGACTCAGGTGCCACGAGTGATTATCAGCACCTTTCAAGGCACCTGTGACCACAGTTACCCCAAACGGTGCTTCACAGAGGGACAGCTTAATGGGGATGCACACTCGGCTGTAAGTTAAGGCAAGGTCTTGGAACTTTGGGCCTGCTGTTAGTGGAGGGGGAGGAATAGTCCTGTGTGCAGCCACTCACCTGAGCCGCCTCTGTGCCCTATTGCTTGTCACCTCCTTTGCCTCTTACCTCTGTGACTTCAGTGACACCATTCATCCCTGAAGACAGCCAGTGGATTGTAGCTAAATGGCAAATAGCTGACGCTTGGGGATGGAGGGAAGGAGACGGCTAGGAGGGGTGGGCCCCTTGCCACTGCCAGAATCCTAAGAGCTGAGGGGCCAGCTCTGCCCTCAGAATGGAGCCACTTAGGCATGCCAAATACTAAGGTACAGGCCTGGGGAGGACAGGGAAGGGTTACTACTACAAGCTGCCCTCTGCCCAACCAGGCTGCTCATATCCCCTACCTCTGAACTCAAAGGGACCTAGGCTGCTGCTTTCCATAGGCACCTTTCTTCCAGGACACAGCCTCACCAGGGTACAAGGCTTGGCATGGACTAACTTTAGTGACCTGGCACGTTTGGCAGGGCAGTGAGCTCTGCTTGGGACCATCATCTCCTTGTCCTTGCTGATGCAGATAAGCTTTTCCCCAGATAGGCAACACTGGGGCCCAGGGCCAGGAGTGGTCCACTGAACAAAATGGCTCTGGAATAGTAAGAGTTTCCTCTTCTCTGTTAAACAGCAAAGGCTCCTCCTTGCTCAAGTGAAAAGGGGAAAGAAGGAAGAAGAATCTTCCATTGCTCTGAAATACCTTGAGAGGACTCCAGACCCAGAACCCCACGGGCGTTCCCCCACCTAAGAACTAAAGGGAGATGGCAAAGAAAACAAACCTGAGCCTGTTCCTGTATCCAGCAGGCAAAGCCACTGGAGCTGAGAACCAAGCCTCTAGCTGCTCCATCAAGTACTCCCCACTCACTCCCAGAAATGCAGGCAAAACCAGCCAGGCCAGGGCCACATGGGCACACACAGCTGGAGATGAGCACACCGCCCAGGAGGACTTAAATAGTGAAGCCTCCCCACCATGGGCAATAAGTAGGGTATGCGAGGTCAAATGAAGCTGCCTGTTCCTGGGTCATGCTCTTAGGGGGCACACTCTCATATCCCAATTAGTCACAGCCCAAGCTTTGTGCACCCCATTAGGGGATGAACACAGGGTATGGAGTCAGAGTCCTGGGTTCAGCCAAGCTGTGGGGCCTTGGGCAAGTGAAAACGGCTCCTCTGAGTCTGTCTTCTCATCAATGAAATGAAACTAAGGCGGCTTGCTTTGCAGGTTGTGGTGGGGATTACATAAGGTAATTGACATTCCCTTTGATGCAGTTGTGCAGAGAACTGTTTTCATTGTAAAGCAATGAAACCATATCTGAACTATAACACAGGGATGATGTCTGCCCTGTGTTCACAGAACTG